CTTTGCCTGCCTTGAACTAGATCAGGAGGCCAAGCCACTTCTCTGTTCGACAGATGGTAACTAAATCTAATCCATGAACCCTGCCGCGGTCCCAGGCAGCAGCGGCAGCTGCAGAGGAAGCAGAGCCTTGCGACTGCCCCTAAGGTGAGGAGCTCACGTCTCCTCAGCACTGGAAAAGCTTCGGAAATCTTGCTCTTCCCCAGCTCCCCCACGCAGAATTCAGGGAGACGTTAACAGAGAAAAACGCTTTAACTCCTGCGCGGCTGTGCCGTGCCACCTGGGGATGAAGGATGCTCTGCGGCAGATGGGTCCCCACGTGCCGGGGACCTCAGCGCTTGCCTGTGCTCTCCAGTAAGGGGGGTTCCAGCTCTGCTCACCCTGCCCGTACCATCACAGACCACCACCAGGAATAAATCCCGCTCTCTGCCTCCTCCTGGCCTGCTGCTTCCCCAGACCTGGCGGGCGATTCCCAACCATGAAGGATGTTCAGACAAAGTGGTCCACAAAACCTGAACTTCCACCACTCACAAGTCAGCTGGCATCAGCCCCCAACGAGCACTGCCCTGGGAGCACCCCAGGACCCCTGGGCTTTCCCGCACTGCTGCCCCCCTCGCACCTCCCTTCCAAACGCACCAGGACGGACCCCAAAGACAGAGCCGATTCAGAGACACGCGTGCCCGCAGGCGGGCTTTGCTCTGAGATTCTCAAGAGGCCGTTCGCTCCCGTTCGGCTCCCGCGGCGCCGGGTGCTCAGCGCAGCAGCACGGCGGCAGGGAGGGAGCGGGGAACCTGCCAGGTTCCCACAGGAACACCCAGCACACACAGGCTGCTTAGCTCAAGCTGGCATTGTTCACGTCTCATCCCCGAGAAGTGCCTTCGTGCTTACGTTCACGTTTCTGCCTGTTCCTAAAGTAAGAGCCTGGCCCCCGAGCCTCCGGAAGGAGAGAAAAACGACTCAGTTGGTATCTTGTGGTCCCATCAACCTCTTCGCTAATTAAGCGACTCACACTGCATACGTTACCAACTTGTTTGTAATTAAAAGTGAAATCAGAGTGTATTAATGATGGCTAGGCCTGAAGCCCAACCGATGTGGTGATTTCCAACAACCCAACACGGGAGTCTGCTCCTGACGGTCTCTGGTGGGATGGTACAGATGGCGAAAGGTCTTACCTTGGCCTTGCCCGTACTCTGCAGGATGTGCACCAGCGCAGACGCCATCTCCTCTTTGTTCTTCACGCTCAGCGAGGGCTCCAGCACCGAGCACAGCACCATGTAATTGTTAGTGATGTACTCGGCAAACTCTTTGTACATCTCCATGGGAAGAATGCTCATGCTCTGGTAGCGTGACTTGATGCGGATCATGGGCCCCGGCGACTTGCCCTTACCGGGGTTGGGGCTGACCACCGGGTACCATTTCTCTACAAACTGCCGGCCCGTGACAGAGCTGACGGGGATGTTCACTTGTCCAATGAAATTGGTCTTGTCCTTCTTTTTCTTCTTGTCAGTCTCTTTGTATAAGTGCACCGTTATGTTTTTGAGCGATGGGAGGTTATTAAATTCAAAGTGCTCCCCCCAAAATACATTATCAGTTTTCAATTTACAGGTAGTTCGTGCATAAAGAACATCATCCAGGCATAATTCACACAAGTACTTTTTCTTAGCTGGCAGGTCCTTGGCTTCAATAATCCATAACTTTAACATATTCTCTACCCTTCTGCTGTTGTCCTGAAAAAAAAGATGCAAAGAAAAAAAGGTCAATAAAAACCCCACAAAGCCAAGCACAACAGAACTGGAGATATGAGTTAATTATTTCGGATGTGCTAAATGAGCAGAGGCTTAATTACATTTTATTTTAAGGAAATACTGGCTCTCAGGAATTTGCATAAAAACACTACTTATGTTAATTTTCCAAATATCACCGTGCTCTCCATGTCTGTTGGCGCCAATTAATATAAGGAACAAGGAAGATAAAACCCCTACAAATCATAAATGTACCGTTTCCCATTCACTGCCAAGAGGGCCTCAGAAGAAACCGAAAGACCCTCACCGATCACTAATGGCTTTTGCAAAGCAGAAGCTACGTTACAGGCACCTCCCAGCCACCTCCTTTTTTAGAACGGCTGCTTCACAGCAGCACTGGAGTACATTTTCTTTACTGTAACAGAGCAGCAATAAAGGGATCTGATCGCACACCCAGGGATCACCTCATCCACGGCTGCAATGCAAGCACCTCTGGCAGGGAAAGAAGCATTTACAAAACCTCACGATATTTTAGGGCAGAAGTCCAGAGCACATCGAGAGGAATTATGGGAGACGAGTGAGTTCCACAGGAGAATCATTACAATTCCAAAATAGGAATTTGGCTTGGGTATCTTTTAAACAATAACGGAGCAAAGGATACTGTGGATCTTTAAGAGCTCCCCAGTGGCGCTGACCTCATCCTGCAAAGAACATCCAGGGGCATTTGCTGCAGCAGCGACTTGAAAGCTAAAGCACTCGCAGCATCTGCAGTAACCTGGTTTGTTTGGAAACCCCTCGCTGAACCAGCAACCACGGCTTACTCTGCTCAGGCTCGGAGTCTGGGCAGGAACATTTCTGCTGGAAGTCCACAATGGGGTACTGTAGGTTCAGGAAGTACACACAGGAACTACACAAGAACACTGAATTCCTGACAGAAAGATCAAGTCAGATACTGAGAGTTTATTGTCTATGAACTCAAAGATGGAAAGTTAGCCATCAGATAATAACATGTTTTGAGATAAGGGCACACTTCCAAATGAGTTTCCACTGACCACCACATCTCAAAGCCACAGCGATGTGGCCAGCCCCAGCTCACATTCCCGGGACTCTTCTCATGGTAAGTCTGACCACGCAAACCTTACACAGCTCTTTCAGATCATTACGACCAGGCTGCCGCACTCGGAAAGCACCGGAGTCACTGAACTCCATATGCAGGAACACGCTGCTCGAGGCAGCAGTCCACCTTTCCCCTCCGCTGCTCCCGTTCTGATATTGAAGGAAATCTTTTATACTGACATTTGGCACTGCGCTGGGAACAATAAACTCCGACACAGAGGGCTCCTTTAGCAACCCGCCAGGCCGGACCTAACTTGTTCTGTGCACAGCTCTGTGGCTCTGCTGCCAGGAATGAATTCACAGGATCCCATCATCTGTGTCTTCTCTGATCAGCGGGAAAAGACTTGTTGATTGAGCTCATCAGTTGTGAAATCCTGCAGCTGATTAGTCCTGATCAGTCTTTGTTAGCTACCTCCAGCGCAGGGAGGGAGAAGCAGCTGTAGATTTTATTTTAGGATGTACTTAGTCTTAGTGGGCCATAAAACGGCGTATTGGGTGTCCCTGTGTTCTAGCGCAGAGAAGGATTTGTTTCTGCAGGTCCCAGAGAGGATGACTTTGCCACCTCAACTGACTGGAGAAGGGAAAGCCACGTTCCACTACCACCTCAGAGAACTCGCTGCGATGGGCAGCTGAGTTTCTCCGTCACTGAGGCAGACGCTGCAAGTACTACCCGAGTCAGGAAACGTGGTATGGGAACTCCTTCGACTATTCAGCCTTGTGACTTTGCTAGCAGCTACCTGCTATCTGTCCCAGAGCTTTTGGGAGGTGGAAAGTCCTATGTAAGTGGCAAGTATCATCAGTAACAGAGCAAGACTGAAGATTCTTCAGGTCTGATCAATTCTTAGCAACAGCTGAAGCAGCATGTGCTGAGAAAAGAGGGGAAGAAATAATTGGCACTTGCCTGTAAATATAATTGTGGAAGAAAGCAATATGGAAAACGGCTGACCCACGGTTACACTTACTCACTAAAATGACAATACGTCCCCCGCTGCTACTATGCACTGGGCTATAAAATGTAATAATGAGGAACTGAACTGTAACAGAGGCAATTCCTCAAAGCCACTACCTTATTTGGGTGCACGGCACGCCGCAGGTTTTCCATCCATTTATCTCGCTCTGCTGCAGAACGACACGAGAAGCACTTACTTCCTGATGAAGTCGTCACCTACAGGGAAAGGAACAGGATTATGTCTTGACCAGCACACCGCAGACTGTGATTTGGGGGGAGAGGGGGACTTAGGAAAGATGCTAGTGGATTTTTTTTTTTTTTAAGTAAACAGCTTTACCCAAGCATGAAGCAACAGCCCCTAAGGCTAGCAGAAAAACAGGGCAACTCTGTATGTCACAGCAATAATCATGGAAGCAAATTCCAATTACTTTTCCTCTTGCACACCAGAAAACACTAGATAATGGGCCCCATGCATGTGACACTTTAAACCACCAAGTCCCACAACTGAGGGAGTGCAAATCCTTAGATGAACTAAAGATAACTTGCAACCACTTGGCATTCCTCCAGACTCAACCCAAACCCTGAGACAGTAACAACCCAGCCCTTGTTTTCAGCAGAACATCAGGCCAGGAAAGGCCGGCTTCATTCCTTCTCCCTTTGTGTCCTGTTCCTTCTGAAGACCACGCTGTGAAGAACCTGGGCCCACGTACACGGCCCACAGTCCTGGCAGTGGTAAGAGCAGCACCTTGCCGCCCGGCCAGAGGCACTCCGGTGCTCACAGCACCTGGGGCTCACCGGCCTGGAGATGGCCAGTGAAGGGCTGCTGAGCCCTCCTCTCACCTCCCACGCTTCCATATCACTCCAAGGGATCTTTCTGCAGTATTTGTGTGACCTTCTCTGGCCATCAGGACTTCAAAGCCAGGTTTTGAAGAAGCGCGCTAACAGCAGTGACATTGCCAGTCGTGCAAACGCCCCTTATTCCTTATCACACCCCTGCTACAACATGGAAACTCAACCCTGTTGAGAGCCCACCAAAGCAACTGCTCCCCAGCAGCCCAGGATGACAGGCACCAAACATTTCTTCCTATCTACCACACCAAGCTTCCTTGGCATCAATTACTGGGCCAAGGTCTAAAAGGCAAATAGTTCTCTGCATCTTCTCACATATACGTACCCCTCAAGCCGTTGTCTCCTCCAGGGAAGCTGATAGACCAACTCCGCGCTGCCCACAAAGCTCTCCGCCAGCCGTTCTGCCCCCCGTCGTGTTTGCTGCGTTTGGTGATGTGCGGTACTATTCCTTATTCCTATTCCTGCTTTGCCTGCAGGCCAAACGGACCCGGCGAGTACTTTAAATAACTTCCCTCCGAGTTTCATTTCTGCCAGTCTCAAGCTGCAGAATTATTTGTGAGTACTTTATCATCTCACAGCGTTTGTGTGTACACTCGCTGGGTTATCTGCTTCTGGGAGACACAATCTCCTCTAATTTCATGTATCTCTCAGAAGCCTAACCTGTTCTTACAGCAGAGCTGGCACTTGCTAAGATTTGTCATTAGCTAACCTCAACGATGAGTTGAACACATCCCTTCCTTTGAACACAGACATCTTCTAACCAGGACAAAATGACAAGAGGCCTATCCTGTCTTTACACAGCAAATGCAAGAAATCTTTCAACTCCTGACAGCCCAGAAGCTCTCTCCTTCAGGCAGACACTCTTCCCTGTCCTTACACACTTTCATCCTCTGTCCTGTAAAAGCATACATTCTTCTGAGCACAAGTTATCTTCTATTTCCAAGAAAAGACGACTCCAGTAGCATGGTCTTTTCAGCATTCTTTTCACGCTTCAGTGTATTTCCAGCTTCTTCAAAGTTTCCCATCCCATATCTGGCCTGCTTCATCTCCTGTTTGCTGGTCCAGATGCCCATGTGAACCTTCATCCCTGAACCTTCACAAACGGACTGTTGGTGGTACAAGAGATGTATCACTTGAAGATTGTGCCTACAGCGTGCGATCCCTACACCTTGCTCTGCCAGAGGGTCTGGCAGTTCTGCATCTCGATCCTCTTCTCAGGAAGAGTTGCTGCAACAGCATTTCAGCTGAGCATAGCCAGACAACTGACAGGTAACAGCACAGGAAGAGAAGCAACGCACGGGTGCATTACTGTTGACACGGTGCTGCACCATCTTAGCGCTGAATTACAAATACAAAGGTCCCAGAAGTACCACTTAACAACAGTTTTAAGAACGGAACTTACAGCAAAGTAACACAGAAGATGCACAGCAAACGAGCACTGGTCCAGACAGCTCCCTCGTTGCTCGATGTGAATTTCTAAGGCTTCAAAACTATTCTTCAGGCAAGAACCTCATAATTCAGAACTTGAGCCCTATCTTATTTGGCCCATCTAATTCAGCTGCGGAAGACTCAAAATCATCCATGTCCAAGTCCAAAACAGCAAAGTCCTGTCACAGCCACGCTGCCCTGCCGGTGTTACAGCCGGGTTTCTACACCCCACAGTGGGAAAAACCCTCCCACTGACAATCTGGTTAAGGTCCACTAAAGTCAGGCTCCACTGATTGCTTAGAAATCAGTTAATAAAAGTGGAATAGGTCAAACACACCTTTCGGTAAACTATCCCCTTAGTCCATTTCCTCAAAGACCATTCCTCACCTAGCTTTCTGTTCAGCTCTTTTGCTTTGCTGGGCGTTTGGCGTACAAATGCGTTTGAAAACAATGCTCCCGGATATACAGAATTTGGTAGAAAACCTGGAAACTTTTCCATAAAAGAGAATTATGACTTTGATTGCTGTTGAAAGACACTCTCTTAAAGACAAGTTCTCCTTGATGACACACATGGATCCCACAGCTGCCTAGAGGATTTGTATCCAAATAAATAAGCATGCAATTTAGCTGTCCTTCTATTGAATCTGTTAATTAAATGCTATCTGTTAGGGAGAATATCTGATATATTTTCTTGCCACACTTAAGTCAACATGTTATCATTGAGTTATCATGGTAAAATTTATGATTCAATTCCAAAACAATTACCGATTAAGTAATCACTCAAAACCTAAAAACCTGTGACTGTCATACTTAAGAGACAGAAGGGGAAAATCCTCATGTGTCAGACTCATCGATCTGATGGGACCTGAAGGTCGTATCTACCATGTGTGACCAAAAATGTTAATTTTCCCCAGCTCTGCAATAACAGTCCAGCTTTGAGCTCTGACCTAAACACATTTGGCATTAACGATCTTCACGAGATATTAATTATCTTGATAAAGAGAGTATTCTGGTCTCGTCAAGATTTTGGATATGCTAGAATACTATTAATGCACAGGATAAACTCAATTAATAAAACTCGTTAATTTCTAAAATGTTACTTATTCACATTCATTATCCACAGTCCTTGGATGGGTGATCTCTTAAGTCAAATAAAATCTTGTCATTTTAAGAACATCTTAGGTGCAGCATGGATTCCTCAAAGCACACTTCAAGGAATCTCACCCGTGTAACAAGAGAAGACGCTAACTGCGTTACTGAAGCCGCTTCGCTCAAAGCGTTCACAAGATTCTACGAGGAGGAGTTGGGGCTCAAGGTGGCAAACGCCACCATCCCCAAGAGCAGAAGGCATGCCGGCGATGGCTGGGCCAGCCCTGCAGACCCCTGACGGCTGCACAGGGCACCCGAAGGGCCATGCCAGCAATGGCAAACATTTCCTCAGCTGGACTAAATTTAGCAAAGCTAAACTTAGCGCCACTAAATTCGCCCTTGCTCAGGCAAGGCCAGGATGCGACGACACGGTTTCAGTTGCGGTGCAGCAAGTACGGTCCAGCAGTAGCTTTTTCTTTCTCCTGCTCCACATCCCCCGGCTATGTCCTGCGACAACCCGGACATGAGCTGCACCACAGGACAAGACTTTGGTCTCCCAAGACAGCAACAGAGCCCTTCGGTCCCAACTCCCCTGCCTGGCCCAAGTCATGAGGACCCCACAAATAGCAGAGCCAGGAATAGGCTCTGGGAGTCTGGACTCCGAGTCTCCTTTACGGGACTAAGATGCCCACCGTATATTTAGCACCCGCAGCATGTGCAGTGTCATTAGATGATTGTGCTGACTGGGAAGTCTTATAAGGAGAAAGATGATGTTGAGAAACTTTTTAAAAAAAAATCAATGAAGAAAACAAGTAAATACCAACTGCCAAGTACTCAGCAAGTCAGAAAAAAGCAAGTTTCATAGAACTAAATAAGCAGAAAAAGCCAAATGCAGCATTTGAAAAAGCACTGCATTAGTGCTGACTCTCCCTACCCCCGGCAGAGCCCAGCTGAGGGGGAGCAGAGCTGAGCAGCCAGCTTCGGCACGTCTTAATGCAGGTCAGTCGAGCTAAAGGAGAGAAACAATTGCACTGTACCTTCCCACAGCCAGCTCCCTCCAAACGAGCCACTTGGTTTTTTTCCACTGCAGATGGCTTTGGCACCTCTCGCTTTTGTCTCCGTTTGGGTGCGCTGCCAGTTCTCTCTCTGAACCTGCCCTCTTCAGCGCGATTCCATCTGCAGCCATGTCAAATCCTGCCGTCTTGTTCTTCGAGCCACGAGGCCGCTGCTGCAGCTCGGTGGAGGAGGACCTGTGGCACGCCGTTCCTCGCACTGCCCGTGCCGGGCAGCCTGGACCACAATCAGCTTCTGGAAAAGCTGCTGCACGCTCTTTTGTTGCTGAGGGACCTGAGAGAGCACGCTGAGCCAGCCCGGCCAACCGAGCACCAAATGAGAACGAAGAGACACCAGCCAGCTGGTAATGGAAGCATTCCTAGGCACTGTCCACCACCCGCCCACCCCACCGCAAGCAGAAGGTAGTTAAGAGCTGTTTAAGCCTGGCACTGCCCAGCAACTGCAACGCTTCGCTTCTCCATTTGAGACAGTAAACTTGGCCGTTCCTGACAGATCTCCCTAGGGAACGGATCCACAATCACCTCCAAGTGCAGGGACAAGGCACCATTACCACCCCGCAGCACTTTCGCAATCCACTGTGCAGAAAAGGTCCTGGTTCCCCTCGTCCCCGTGACTCTGGCAGTAACTTCTCACTCGACGTTTCTTAGTCAGGGCTCCTTTTCCAGGACATCAGCTGAGCTTCTCGCTCTTCAGCGTTCCCACGCACAGCAGTGCCATGGCTCTTGGCCATCAGCCTTGGGTTTCCTTGCAGCCTCGTGCAGACTTCAACCAGAGCTTTCCCAGTTCCAGGCCACAGGAACCACCACAGGTTTCACTGCTCTTTGCTGAGCTCCCCAATGGGCGGCAGCAATCTTTGCCAAGTCTTGCCTGGACTTTCAGATAAAGCAACTCTGAAGGACTCAGGGTCACAGGCCACAGACGGGACCCCCAGGACATGACGATAACTGAAGGCAACACTCAAGCACCAAAAAGGAGAAGACGCGCGTGCAGTTTTGCCGCTTGACTTTTGCTATTCCCTGCCATGGAGAGCCATGTGATAAAGCTGCCCGTGCCGATGCAGGCCGTGGTCCGGAGGGGCCAGCCCCAGCCCTCCAGCCCATCCCAGCACACGCCGCTCCTCTGCCTGGGCCCAAGGCACGTCGCAGGCTCATCCCTGCCCTGCACTGCCCAAAGGCAATGCCAACTCTCTGCCAATGGTCCCGAAGCGCGTGGCACATTGTGGTCACTGCCCGCTACCCACCAGGGATCCCGGGAGATCTGCAAACTCATTTCAGTGCTGACCTCACCCCGAATTTGAAAGAGGCTCTCTGGAGATGCAAGCCCTACGCATTAACACAATATGCCATTTAGCTCTCACCTCAGTCCTTCCCACTGGAGCTTGCTGATGAGTAACCGTCAGTTACAAATCAATGTCCCTTTTGTTTTCTGGCATTCTTCCTTTCCTCTGCAGGATTTGCAGAACAGCAATTAACATGTTCTTTTTTTCTGTATGACTCCTCTTTATCCAACTCACTTAAAAATAAAATTTTCTTCCTCCTTACAAGTGCATGACTTGTGTAATTTCCCTCTCAGTCAACTTTCTACAAGTACTGTTCACATCCCTTCCTCTGCTCTTGTGCGCTGAACAGAATTGGTAAACAACTCTTATATTATGGATGTCACATCTATTTTCCATCTAGCTTCATTTTATCTTTCTTGAGTGGAATGTAATAGAGGCCATATAATTTACAAAACTGTTCTCCTCCTGACCTGCCACACTTGCTCAATTCTACAGAGAGTGAACAGCACTGGAAAATTTATACCTCAGCCCACTTCAGAGTTTATGTTTGGGGCTATTTTTTGTAAGACTGTTTTCATGTTACCTGCTTAAATGTTAAGAAATGGATCTTTTAACTCATTTCCTTCCAAGTGTGCGAATTTCAGTAAAGAAAAAAAATCTTCATCTCTCCAGTCTGACTCCTCTTGGACACTGCCAAGGCCGTCTTCCCCCGGCACTGCCCATCCGAGAAAGCCCGCCATCCCATCACACCCTACAGTACGATCCAACCACGGATAGACAATCTATCTGCTCTTCTATGTCCAAGCACAAGCAGGTTACCTTCTCTCCACAGAAACACAAGTATCGACCACCTTATTACCGTAAGAAAACCATTTCCCAGTTCTATATCCAGCCACTGCCATAAGCAATAATACTTTGCCATCCCTGATGCAGGACAAATGATTCCCAAGACATAGTCTATTGAATTATCCAACTACAGACTGGTTTGTACGTGTCCTACCACCTCCCGCTAGTACAGACCTAACCACATGCCATAACAGATGTTAAAAAAAAATCTGAAATACTCACAGATTTTTCTATTTACCCAAACAAGTGAAGCTTCAGTTTTCCAAAGTGCTCAACACCCCCACTGACAACAGTAGGCTATCTTTGTGACCACGCATGACGTCTTTGTGAACACTGAGTAGGTATTAGCACTTTCTGATATCTGTATGAACATAAACTACAAATTTATGCTCTGCTAATACACAGCCTGAAGTAGTTCAGCACCTGTGCCAGCAGCACGCTCTGCTGAGACAACGGTTACAAGGAAAAGAGCCCATTGCTCTGATTTCGTGGACATGATCCTCCTTGGAAAGATGGGAGCAATTTTCTGCCTATAAAATAGTCTCTGTGTAGCAATTCAGAGCAGAAACGTTTTACAACAGTGGGAGCCCAAGACACAAACGCAAACCTGGCTCCCCAGTCAGCCCCCTCACGTGGCAGGAACGGCCCCGGGATGGACAGAAAGGCGCCTTACTTACCTCAAAGCAATAGTCTTGTCCCAGGATGCTACTGTGGACCGGCTTGATGACCACTTCTTCCTCCATGCTGAGATCCAGAGCCTCAACAGCACTACTGGGACTGAGCAAAGACTCGTGGGAGCGCGATTCTTTCAGCCTCGGCATTAGATGGGATCTAGAGGAAAAATGTAATGGTATCAGTGGATGCTTTCCTTCCCAGAGAATTTAGTCCATCTGTTAGCAGCAACTGCAGAATATTCCTGGGAATTTTTTTGCCATGAGATAACTGAGAGCCCAGAATAGCAGGGACTGCTACACTGTCCCATTTATAATTCAGTGAGCAGGTTCTATTACAAGCTGTACGTTCAGTAAAAACATTTTTTCCAAACTCTGATGCAGTGACGACTACATTATTAGAGGTTTGTACACTGCAGGTCTCTGCACAGCTGAGTATGTCTTTAAACAGCCACCATACCTGCTGCGTGAGACTTTCCGGGTGTGCTGCAGCACGAGCGGATCAGGGAGGCCGGCTGGCCCCAGCACCAACTACTGTGCTCATCAGTACCGCGGCCGGGTCTGCAGCACCCGGTGCTGAGCCCTGGTAGTGCTGAGCCCCGGTGGTGCTGAGCCTCGACTGCCAGCACAAGACTGGGTTTGCACGCGCATGGGAGATCCCATAAGCACCCTACTTCACCTCGGGCTGCTTGGCAGCACCCAGTCCCTACTGAGAGAAGGAAGTCACCCGCAATGGGGAGGAACTAACGACAGATCCTCCCCAAACCCCAGGCCTGCGTTTGCTCCTCCCAGCGCAGGTACCCTTCTCCCCACCAAAACGCACGCATCTCCCGTCACGAACGCAGCCAGTGTCTGGATCCACGCTGTCACCAATAACCCAAGGGCTCGTGTGCTCTCTCCAATTGTTACACGCATCCCCGGGATGGGGACAGTGTGGAAAATAAGGCCATGATAGTCCCATCGATTGATCTAAATGCTCTGGAGTCCCACTGGCAGCATTTAGCAGCAGGGAGCCCACAGACAGCAAGCAGCACACCATTTTTGAGACAGCCAATACAATCAATGGTGCTGTAACTCTTAAAGCAAAACCAGAGAGCTCAAGGGGAAAAAAAAAAAAAAAAGAAAGATAGCTAGGTACTCCCAGGGAAAATGGCAAAACCATAAAGTGGTAAGGGAAAAAATAACTTGAGAGCAAAGGGAGCAGTTGCCTTTTCTATAGCCTGCACCATGTAAAATGTTCCTACGCCAGCCAGCTTACAAAAGCTCTGATTCCAGTAACTCTGACCTTTAAAACCTCTGGCAGGCACTTTAGGGTCTTCCAAAGAGACCACGCGCCCCTCTGTCTACAAAGAGAGCACGACGCCTTCTTCAAAGGCACGCAAGGATAGAAATGAGGGGAGTTTGAGATATTCTCAGCACGGTCTTTTATGAGTGAAACAACAATGCTCCCAGTATACCCTCAGATTGCTTTGCCTGTGTGCGTTGAGTTCTGTTGTTCTCTAGAACAAAGCTGACCAAAACACAGAGAAATGTCAATAGTGCATGCAAAATTCAAAGCTTCCAGTGAATCACGCGCCAAGCTGAATCTAGAAAACAGCCAAAGGAGAGTCTAAGATAAACAGCAGCAGAAGATAAAGAGGTGCTTCTCTAGATTTGCCATTAAGATTCATGCCACCGGTGAACCCCCAGGTGACAGCGGATCGGCCCATAGCCGGGCTCTCCAGCTCCGCATGCTAAACGAAGACTCTGCAAGCTGCAGGCCACCCCTCCCCGCCAGCAGCGGGCAGGATAACCAGCCTGGGGACACGCTGCCCGAGGCTTCCGTGGCGGCACAGCCTCCAGACCCTTCGTGCTCCCTGCATCCGCTGCGGCCGGCAGCCAGGACCAGCTGTGGCGATACCTGTTACGGCATCTACAGAAAAACAGACGACACAATCTTTTTCTTAGGGGACAACCACCAGCCCTCAAATGTCAAAAGCCCTGGGTTAGCAGAGCCCTGTGCTGGATCAGAAGCAGTGGCTTTGAAGCAAAAGGCTCTCTATCCCATTAGCGATTCTCTAAACTGCCCACTCACCCCATATCTCTATGGTGAATAAATTGATCTTTAGGAACTGAGCACAGTCATTTCTCAGTACTTTGTGGCAATTTTACACTACTTTCACAGAAAAGGGTCCATATCCTTTTCCTCTGAATGATACTGTAAATTAACTCTAATACAGGCAGACAGATCAAGTTACCTCGGGATGCTGAGTGCAGAACTAATATCCAGCAGCTCCAGAACTGACGATACAGACTGCTCACCAAGCCCTGATAAGCCCAGAATCAAGGCATTTACGGTAAATCTTATTTCCATATTTTACAGTTGAAATTAGAAAAGGTAAGTAACCAAGCTGAGACTTGCCTTCTTGTCTGGACAAATATAAATATTGATAATCTAAACCCTCAACTCAGGAGCTACATACTGTAACGCACACATGTACATCACTGAGCTGGACTGCTGGCCTACGAATTTTTGTTAAAATTTAAACAAAACAAGTCTATTTTCATTTAAAACTACTGCAGCTGCAAGGCCATGGGTGGGAGTGCAGATGTGCGATACGAAGAATTACCAAGGGGGAGGTTCTCAGGACATACTGTGTTCTCACCAGATAGAGCAAACGCGTATTTATATCCCTCCGTACTCTGCCGTATGCCTCTGGGAATCCTAAAATTAACGGGACTTTTCTTGGGCAGGAGGTTATTTGTCAGGTTCTTGCCTCGGCAGGACCCGCTCCCATGACGTCTTCTACTCCTGAATGCCGACCAGATCCAACCCGGGTCAGTAACAGAAACATTTTTCACCAGATGCTGCTCTGTAGGGAGAGAGCGCTGCAGGTCTCAAACCAGCCCTAAAAGGCCCAGCATCTGCCTGCGTATCAAGAGCTAAGTGGGAGATGTCATTAATTAGAGACTCTCAGCGGAAGGGCAGGATGAGCGCTGCCTGTGCAGAGCCTCCTCCCAGGGCCACCGGCCCCATCCCCTCCCCAGCACCCGCAGAGCCAGCCCTGACGCTCGGTGCTTAACCTGCGGCAGCCCGGCACGGTCCGGGGCGGGGGGCTGCAAACGCAGTGCGAGAAGGGTTATACACCACCGGTCTTCAAAGGACACCCGGCCCTTTCATTTTAATGCCCTGCTCTAGAGGAGCGAGCATTTCTCACGTCCTTCGGTAAGTAACAGGACATTTGCGGCAGGAGTCCATTTACGGGAAGATGTTTGCAAGTCCGTGTCGCAGCTCCCACAGTCTTCCCTTTGTATTAACAGTAAGAAAAAGCTCCTGCTATGGCCATAAGCTGCCTCCCTGACTCAGAGGGTGAGGGCACTCTTCTTACCGAAAGGACCACTCGGCCTTCCCCCCGTTTGGGCAGGGAGAACGTAAACCCGCTGCGTGTGTGTTACAGGGAAGCCCTCGGAGTGGTAACGCCTGTCTTGTACTGCATCGAGCCATAAAAGACCTGGAGGGCTTCATCCAAGGACAATTTACTGGGTGAGGGCTGGCAAGTGCTAAAAAAAACCCCCAACAAATCCACTTGCTGATGAAGTGTGGAAATATCAAGCACTGCCTGCTTACCGTTGAGCTCTGCCTGCTGCCGCCCAGCACGGGCAGTAAACAGCGTCCCTGGGGACAGAGATACCAGAGTCCCTGCAAACTCGTGCTCTTCCTTGGCCATCCCAGAACCATCTAACGTCCTAACAGGCAAACTCACCTGGAACATCATTTGCTGACCGTGTACATACACTTCCAAGATGACAGAGGTACTTTGTTCAAATTCATCTCTCTACCATCACTTTTCAAAAAGCTGCCTGTGGGGCCATCCAATCTCTTGCTGTAATAACTCGCTGTGTATTCCAGGTCCCGTCCCGGCTTATGTGAGCTGATCAAATTCAGTTCCTACACCTTTGTTTTAATATGGTGGGAACGGCCAGCTGCTCAGAGACATCTCACAGCAGGAAACCCTCTTTCCAAGCAGCACATTCAGTTCCTTTTGCCATGGGCCTTATTTTAATCCCCTTCTACTTGCCTAAAGTTCAGCCGAAATGAAGGGGGGGGAAAAAAATCTCATAAAAGACCACATTAGTTCTAAAGAGAAATAACATTACTGCTACCGGCACTGACCTGGAGAGTCATACGGAGAGGCAGCCAGTCTCTGGTTATTAAAGAAAGAGGTTTACTGCCCAAGAGCAATGAGAAAGGATTGTTGTTCTAAATAATAAAAGTCATAAAACATTACCATGTGAAGGGATGCGATCCCCCTCTGCCTGCTTCCTTCACGGGCAGCCAGAATTAGGGACATCAAGTACTACCTGGCTGTGACAGCACACCTAACCTAACCAGGACCTTGTAGACCACAGCAAAGACTTTGCGGACACAGAGAAACAAGGACAGAGGGACAATCCATTCTCTCCTGATCAAACTTCATGGCTGGGTTTTGAGCAATGGAGGCGGCAACCGTCCGTCCGCAGCAGCGGCACCACGCACGCAGCAGCTACGAGTGCCAGGTTTGATGTTCTTTCAAGAACAAAGATACTCTGCCGAGGCTACAAGGAAGGAAAAGATTTGGGCCCTGTCTGCACAGAATTATTCTGGAATAGGTCTTGTGTGTTAAACTCATACGCTCTCAGTCCAGAATTGCATTCTTGTGAAGACAAGCCCTCAAAGGGGCAACCCCATCGGTTTTCATTTCAGAACCTCACCTGCCTGGAACCACCCAGCTGCCGCTTCTGTGGTTTTATGATGAAAATTTTCCTGATCTTTCTGAGACAGAAACAAACAGGGAACCTGCCTGGTTAGCCACAGAAGGATGCAGCAGACACAAAATGTAACACTGAAACATGAAGAAAAAAACATAAAGAGCCTTCCTTAAATCTCCTACTGTTCACTCTGAGACCACGAGCAGATTGGGGAATTCTGAAGGAAGCCCAGGCACTAAGCTGAAGGTGTCCCATTAATACCAGCTGCAGAGCCGGCCGTTGCAACGTGAACGCCTCCCCACTGCCAGAGGGATCTGATCTCCTACATTACAGGTTTGACTCTGCGACACGTCTCCTGGTCAGGAAACATTCCCTGCATGCAGCTTTTCAAGGGCTGATGGTTCTTTTCTCTGACCAACTGGGAAGAG